CGGTAGCCTCTCATATGGGATTTCTAGCTGGTATGTATTAATGTTATTTAGTTAGATGCATGCATTGACAAAAAAGGGAAATTAGGTCATGAGTGACAGAGTTTTTAACAGTGTGATAAAAGAGTGATGTGGCATGAACGAAATATCTTCTTTGACAAAGATTGAAAAAGGGATGTTTAAATGGTTTGGCCACATTGAAAGGATGAGTGAAAGGAGATATATAAGGCAAGTGTGACAGGGCATACTGGAAGGGGAAGACCTACGAATGTACCACGACCAAATCGCGGACGTATTAAAGAAAGGCCAAGTCAAAAGTACACTAAACCGCGGCGTTCTTCAATGAAAAGGTCGATTCGTGTGGAGGAGGCGAGAAAAGTATGTCAGGATCGTAAAGAATGGAAAGAAGTGGTATCTGCCTTCCCCGCCAGGAAAAATGCGTGACAATATAGATAGAATAATAGTAATAACAATTATTTAACGAGAATAAACTACTTACATTTTGATATTCTTTTGGCCTATTAAGTACCAGCTTGTCACAAATTGAATGATTGTTTCCTAGAAACATGTAATACTTAGGACAAAATATTTTAAAAAGAAAATAAATAAATTCTCTCAAGCTTAAAGAGTTGTAATCTTGAAATCTCTTGACACCAGATTAAATATTTATTTGTTATATCAGTTCTAATATTAGTGAGTTATGGGTACTATGTATTCAGTTCAATACGTTATAGATTTAAAGCACTCCCAATAATAAAACATCAAAATTTTTAAATCTTTCTTTCTAGTTTAATAAACGTACCGGTTCTTAGATTTTTTTAGACGAAAGATAAAGTATTGATTTTGATAATTTATATTTTGTTTCAGATAATGATGTTATCCCTCAGGAATGTAAGGACACAGCTTACATTTTGCTATTTTTTGACACATTATTTGATACCATGAATGGCAGCTACAAAAAAAAATACCGATATGCAAAGCCGGCTCTACAACCTGTTACGCATACATCTGTTCACAAAAAAATTTGGCAGGAATCAAAAGAAATGTTAAAAGAAATGAATTTCATTAAAGGGGATAAAATTGAATATGTTCCAACATTAAGCAATTGGATATGGACGCTAGATGGCATTGAGACATTGATTAATATTATAGGTAAAAAATATGAGGTGAACTCAATTTGGATGCGGCACCTAAATCAAGATCCACTAGAAAATTTTTTCGGTTCAGTCAGGAGTCATGGTTGTCGCAACACCAACCCTACACCCGAAAGGTTTGAGTCGGTATTTGCAACGTTATTAATTAATCGCCTGTCTAGCGTCCATGCCCCTGGCACTAATTGTGAAGATGACGTAGCTTCAACTTTATATGCCCTCGTCATCAATGAGGACTGCAGAGCCACTACCGAAGAAGCAGCAACTGTAGATTTAAGTATCGTAAATGAAATTAATATTGTTGATTTAAACGACAAATTTAAAAATCCACAAATAAAAGCAATGTTACATTATTGCAGTGGATATTTTGCAAAAAAACTTAAAAACAAAATATTCAAAAAATGTAATTTATGTAATGTAACATTCATTGATAATAATGAGTCCGAATTTATACAATACAGGGAATTTCAAAAAAAGAGGTGGCTGTGCAGTCCTACTATGGACTTTATTAAAAATGTCTCTCAGATGCAGGACGTTATTTATAAAATTTTAGTAAAGAATCTTGAAATAAAATGCATAAAAGAATTTATTAAAACTATAATATTAATGTATGTTAGTTTTGACTACATAAAATGTGAACAACATCGAGAAAAAATCTTAGATTATTTAATTAATTTAATAACACGATTTTACATATATACGTATTGCAAAAATATAAATAAAATTCTAGGCGGAATGAGGGCTAATGAAGATAACGACGATGTTCTACAATTAAAGGCTAAGAAACATTATGACAAATTATGTAAAAGAAAAAAATAAACATGTTTATCGAAAAATTTTGGTATTATTTCGCACAACAATTTTCTGTAATGTCCATGATGTAGCTTGATGTCATTACTGCAATCTATGTAATGGTTTCTCGTTTAACTTTTTATATTTAATGTAAATATATTGAAATCCTTATAAAATTATCTCTCATGACTTTTAATTTTCATATAAAATGGTGTTTGTAGTTAGATTCTGTTCTAAAAGCAATTGCAATAACTTAAACTATAATTTTGAATGTTATTGCCTTTCTTTTAGAACAGAATTTAACTCAAAACATTGTTTTCTTTAGAAAATATCCACTAATTAAATTTGAATTTCCCGCAATTTTTCAAAAATAGTTCCACTCAGAATTACAGATGGAGTTGCACGCTTTTATTACAAAAATAGCTCCGAACATGTGCCTCTATTTCCTAATGTACTCTGTGGATACGATCAACCAACAGTTCATTTCCAAATTAGGGATGTTCGATATTGACATCGAAGTCAACATCGATTCAAAGGCATCGATGTATGATAAATATCAATTGAAAACCATCGATGTTCCCCAAACATCGATGTTTTTCATAGAAAAAAATAAAACTGGATGTATTTTTTACAAACAAGTATTTATTGTTACAAATTTAAAAAGTAGAATAAATTTATCCCAATATTTTTTTAATATGCTTACAAGACTCAAAAAGATAGGTATGTTAGGAATAGACAAGATAGTATTTAGGTTAATGGGATGGGGGGTTTTAGATGGAAGTTGCTCATATGAAGAAGGTTGTTTCAGACAGTTAAAGAGTATGGGATCAGTGGTACTATTTTCGATTCCGCACTCGCACGTGGACCTATCTTATGTACGGATCTTTGAAACTAAGACCGGAGAATAAAGTTACTTATAAGATACCAACAAGCGCTGAAGTTGACAGATTTATTTCTTATTTCCTAGGAAAATGCAAGCAAAGAAAAAACTATTTGTTTGCGTACTCCAGTTACGAGTGCAACCGGTGACATCTAGTATAAAATAGTTGAACTTGATATACGAGATCATTTAGCTAGTACATCTGGAGCACGTTAGATGGCCCAAAGGGTATATTGACATTTTATTTATAAACATCGATGTGCCGATGTTATCCAATTTAAAACATCGATGTTTATTCAACATCAATCATCCCTATTCCAAATCCAATAGGGTGGCCTGCCAGACTGACGGACACCAGCATAGACATCATAATAATAAATAAGACTTACTATCCCTTAAATACTTTATTTGTTCATGACAAAGAATTAAGTCAAAGTAACAACGCAGTAAATGTAGATTTAAATAGCCTTTCATTATATTAATAGATTTCATGTAACAGTTTTATAGCTGTTAAGGTTATAACGTAATTAAAATGTATTTTATAAGTTCCACAAGAAAAATATAAAACACATTATTCTTGATTGCCACATAATGCACAATAAAATATAAAAAAAATACATTAAAATAAACTGTATAAAAGTGTTTTGTTTCCATAAACTTTTGAAATCATTATATTTTACATAAGATAGATAGCATAACTGTATGTATTACAATATTTGCTATACAATCCAAAAAGCAGAAACTAACTTAATAGCATGAAAAAAATTTTATTACATGTTTGTTTTCTTTACTGTTTTTTCAAGAAATTTTTTTTTCTTCCTTTTTAACCTAGTTACATCAGAGATATAAAAAATGGTTTCTATTAAAACGCTGCTACTTATACTGACCCTACTGTTCCTGAAGGCGTATACGATCGATTTAAGGGTCCATTTCAATACGCATTCTCAAGATTAGACACACACAAATCCGCAAAAATATATTGATTGCGCACAAATTTCTGGCGACTTTTAGTCTCAAAAGAAATATGAACATTAAATTCTTACAGTAAAGATAAATTTGCTATATCTATTTATAAATTGACTGTCTGTTTACCATTATATTAAAACATTAATATATATCAAAATATTATTAATTTAATGAATACTTAGATATTAATTAACATTTTAATATAGGTCCTGCACCAAAAAAGAAAAAATGGATTGAAACTTGTTAGAGCCATAACACATTGAAATATGTAGGTTGGTGACCCAAAAAAAAATAGATTTTCCAAAAAATATTCAATTTGGAAGTCCAAATGGTGGCCTTCCGAATTGAATATAACTATTATTCCATACTTTATGTGACATATCGAATGAAAGGGCTTATTTTAAATAATTGTATTTGGATTTGCATTATTACAGAAAATTTACCCCCTTAATCTTAAAGTTTGTCCCATGTTGTTATTAACAAACTAATTATTAACCAATTTAGTTCAGAAAGTTTTATTTGTATTACAATTATTGAACAACATAATAAAATAAATGTAGACATGACTTACATTGAACTTTTAACTATTGCAGTTTCATATTTCTCTTTCTAAATGAGCTTAAGAAAAATTAGTCGGCAAAGCATACATAACATCAGAAAGATTTATTTGGTGATTCAAAATTATACTATCAGTATCTAGAGCCTTACAAAAAATAATAACTAATTTTGCTAACTTAACTAGTTCTAACTAAAAAGTTAAATGAAAATCAATTACTTACATATTTACAATTTATCAGTACAATCAGTCAAATAACTGTACAAAATGGAAATATAAGTGCAAATGGTTTACAATTAAGTAAGCGGTTGACAACTTTGTTGCCATAATACAATGTTATATTTTGTATCAATCAAATTTAGTCAAAAATATATTAATAGGTTATTAACCTGATCGCAATGCAGACAGTTGTGATGAGAAGTTTCTTGCATTAAATCCCCTAATCATAATAGTCTGGACTGCATGAAAATAAGTATTGTTTGTCCTTTTAAAAACAAGCTTGTTTATTATGTATATTAGCCAAAATGGGTTTAACAGAGTTGTATTTTGGCTAAGGTACATAGTAAAAGAAGTGGCATTGACGATTGTATATTCATCATAGTTCACGCGGTTTGCAATGTGTGAATAACGAGGGGACGAATGGGTTTAACAGAGTTGAAAGGGGAGCAGTAAGACAAACCAAATTTGGTTTCTAATTTGGCTAGTGAGGATTTGGCTAGAAGTAATTTGTGGAACATGCAAAAAAAAATATTTTATCTAAATTTGATTGACACAAAATTCATACATCTTAAGCAAGCAGTTATTTATTTCCATCTACCTTAATTTCTCAAACTTTAATATACATAACAATAGCAAAAATAATAATCACTCTGTATCAAACAAGTGCTATGATATTTGCCATAACATTCATACAATATAGTGCTATGTTGGGCACCGTTGTATCACTAATTTTAACTTACATTTATACTTGAACCAACTCATAGAAATATTGTTAAGCAAATATACTTATTTCTCATAAAGGCATTTTTGTTGAATTTGAATTATTGAGACATACATTTATACAATAGACATATAACAATCGCGCGAGATACGTGTTATAAAACAAAGTAATGGTAGAATTATACATATTTTTTGATACATTATATTCTTTAGTTTTGTTATTATATTTCTGAATTTGTTCAAGTATAAGTTATTACATCTTATAATAGTTAAGCCTATATGAATTGCCCTCAATTCTGTTACCATCTTTTTATCTGTTTTTACTATTTAGGTATGTTCTTACTTCAGATCAACAAGTGTTACTGAGTAAATGCCTTAACATCTAGTGTTACTGCGTAACTCGGATAGCAACTTTTTGGTAGTCAGGTTACATAAAAATTAGGCTTCATTTTATTGAGAATTAAATTCCCTGTGATTAAAAATTGGAAACTAGAGCATCGAAAGTTATAAACATGAATTCATGTAAATATTTCTACAGAAAAACATTACAAAATAACCCATAAAATTCACAATTTATTTAATTTCTTTCGAAATTATATAAATTCGAATATATATAAATATGAGTTTACAACTGTGTTGTTGGACATTTTGAAGCTTCTCTATTGCAAAAGAGATGGCATCAACATTAACGGTAAGTTTCTAACACAGCTTTGCTTTGCTGATTATGTAGCCCTAATGACTAACATATAAGACATGGACATTGCTTGAATATCAGTTATGTATCACAAAGAGTGAATTGAACCTTATTGTAATTTTAAGATTGACATATGGATCTCTGGTTCTCTGGCTGTATCTTCATGTATTAATTATTTCTGACGTTCCGCGACGCATCCTCCGTGTGCAGACTCTAACCTGCAAATGCTTTAGTACATAACTGATCTGTACTGTATTGGCTGCCGATTGTGCAAGGCTCAATGGCATTTATAGATTAGCCTTGGTTATGTATGGCGAGTCAAATTTTCCACATTTAGACGCCTTTGTTGGTGCTTTGTACATGAAAAGTTGGCTGTATATTATTAATATTATCCATAATTTTGAACATTTAAATAAAGTTTAATACAATAAGGCTATTCTTAAGTTACCATTAAAGAAACATGGTTTTTCATAATTTTTCACAAGGAAGGTAACAGAATTCAGTGCAATATGTAAATATATTATTCATCAGTACCAAATTAGAATTTAAATTTTGCATAAGAATTAGTCAATGCAAATAAAAATAATAACAACTTATATTCAAGTACTATGATGGGAATGTATTTTACTCTGTCGATTTATTCAACATGTCACCAAGCTATTCACACCTATATAATGTTCAGCGAGACAAAGTACAAACTATATACATATACATGATTGGCTTTTAATAGAAGGTTTTCACCAGCGGCTTCACCTCATGGTCAATCCTCTCGAATCACTGTATGTTACCAATGTTAGTTTTAGTCAAATACCAATGTTAGTTTTAGTCAGAAAATCAATGTTTTATTGATGAGTTTCCTGTGGTTATCTTACTGGTTAGCTAAAAATACAACATGAACATGCATATCTTTATTTCAATCAATGTAATTAATTGCTTCATTATCAATTCAACCAGGCCAGCAAATGCAAATAAATATTTGTTAAAATTTGTCTTAGATCCCTTGAACAAAATATAGTTATAAGCTATTACCTGAATTAAAAATTATAATAAAACAACATCAACATAATATTAAAAAAAGTATCCCTAGCAAAGAAATGTGAAAACTTCTATTTCAATGAAGTACTTTGTCGAGAACATAAAATTATCACCTTTACACTCTCTAGTAGTGTTATGAGACAAAAGATTGTTATTATCTTATTGTTGCTCAAAACAAAAATATATACACTTGCAGTGATAGAAACAGTAGGTTATACACATGATAAATGATACAATATTGCATTAAATGAACAACAATGTTCAACAATGTTTTACTATTACACAGTTTCAATAATCCATATCTTCCAAAACCTTTTATAAAACCATTAGATAGATCATTAGAATGATACTTTTTTGGTAATTTGATCTATATTTAAACTTTTAAGCACACTTGCTGTTTTTTCATTCACTATATCACTTGAGAAACACATTGCCACTTTTGTTAATTGGTAATTTCCACTTTTTAATCACAAATTAGTGTCACTTATGGTAGACAGTCTGTGTGTAGGGTCACTTAAGGTAAGTGCGGAACAGTAAAGGGGAGTGTGCAGTCTCCCGTTCCTGTTCCAATAAGAACACCATGTCACGGTGGTTGATGCGCTTCAACCGCGTACGCAGCGCCAACTGACTTCGTCCAGCCTGTGAAATATATACACCCGACATTAGTTACTGTGAAGAAACAACACAAGGTTTAACTTGTGCTTTATAATAGGTTTTACCTATGAAATTACGGTTCTGCCGTACTGGCAGTACTGATAATTCTAATTTCAAATTAATTTTATTTTAAAATTATGGATTTTTTTTTTTCTAATAACGTCATTTGTTTAAAAGTTAGTGTTTTGTTTACAACGTATTTGAACATTTTTCGTCATCATGGATAAGTTAAAAATGCGAGTAACTATGGAGTATGAGTACCATCGTGGCAGCAAAGCGGCACAAGCGGCACGCAACATCAATGAAGTTTACGGAGCGAACAACAAACAATTCTGGAATTTTTGACCTGATAAATAAACCCCGTAGTCGTCCGAAAACTTTGGTCGACAATGGCGAATTAAAGGCGATAGTGGAAACTGATGAAACTCAATCTACGGCTGAATTAGCAGCAGCTTTCGACGTTAGCATCAAAACCAACATTGGTCCATTTGCGTCAAATTGGCAAGATAAAAAAGCTTGGCAAATGGGTACCCCACGAACATTGTTACTTGTAACGAGAAATGGATTCTGTTCGACAATCGTAAGTGCTCAGCAAGTTGGCTGGACCCTGGTTCAGTACCCAAACAATGCTCTAAACGAAAACTTACTCCTATAAAAGTGTTGGTCACTGTTCGGTGGTCTAACGCGGGTGTAATTCATCACACCTTAACAAACGGGATGAGCATTACTGCAGATGTGTACTGTGAAGAACAGAACACAATGATGGAGACGCTCGCACGTCTCCAACCAGCTTTGGTCAATTGTTCGGTTTCACTTTCAGACGGTTTCCAAGCTACAAGAGCTGGGGTTGGAAGTTCTCCGTCATCCGCCTTACTCACTAGACCTTGCGCCTGCAGACTTCTACTTTTCCAGAATTTCGATAACTTCTTAGCGGGAAAAAAATTCAATACCCGAGAGGCAGTACAAAATGCCTTTGAAAAATTTATTGCCTCCCATTCAGCCGATTTCTTCAAGAAGGGCATCAATAAACCAATGCATTGATTGCATCGGTGATTATTTTGATTAATATAAATAATAGAATAAAAACAAGCTTCATTTTTTTTCATGAAAAACGGCAATTTCATAGGTAAAGACCTAATATAATTAAAACTGAATAAAGTAATCAATCTAAAATAAGATAATCAAGAGAATGTTCCAAGAAAAAATTTCATATTTCTGAATTTTAGAGGTAAGACATTAATTTCTCAATGAATATATATCGTTGTTTGAAACAAATCTAAAAAAAATCACCTCTCACTTTTATGCTCAATTATTCAGAACTTCGTCCTCCGGTATTATCACTCTGTCGCATTAAAATCAGTTGTGTAGATAGTTTAAAAAATCTCAATATACAAATTTAGTTTTATTTTAATATTTATCCTTCTCCACTGGTATATTGGTGAGTCACACTAGTTGTATGTTACTGTAAAATACTCACGAGTCCTGGCTGCGCGTGGTGTGGCTGGTTAGTACTGCTGTCACCAGCTCCGGCGGGTCCATCTAGTCTTGGTTTTTTGCGCGGTCCGATAGCTTGCAACGCTGTCAGATTCGCCTCGCGCTGCCGAAGCTCTTCCAATTCCGCACGTTGCATCTCTTTCGCCTGATCATTGATAATTGACACAAATTAGAAACTATACTTTTACTACTGCCATTCTGGAAATTAAAAAAAAAAGGGACCAAGGATAAGCTACTTACGAAAAATTATAGGGAAATTAGGACCAGTATCAAAGCAAGAAATTTAGAAGATAGAATAGACACACACAATGAGTTCTCTATGGCAAGGCTCTTATACAATAAATATAAAGAGTTGCCTTTAAATATTTTAGTTTTAAATTTCTTTTTTTTTCTATAACGTTAAATTACTATTTAAAAATGTTTTTTTAATATTTTCATAAAAAAGAACGTAAACAATTTTGTATTATTATTGAAACTAGTTTAAAATATGTACTGTTTTCAGTATATTATATACATACCTTAGCCTTGAGTTTAGCCTGTTCAGGGTCTTCGTTCTTGGAACGTGATTTTGCGGCTCTGAGCAGCATCTCCCGCTCTGAATCTTCGCGCCTCTTCCTCTCAGCGCGATCCACTTCCTCTAGAAACTTCAGTTGGCCCTTCACATCCTGTGTCACTTCGTAACGCGAGTCAGTCTACACACAAAACAATAATCGTGTCAATTCAGTGTTGCTGTATACAAATGCCATTTTTATGACTTGGCAAAGTTTTCAAAAGAGTACTAATACGATATTCAATAAGGACAGTGGTTTCAATTAGTTTATTAAGAAACAAAGCCACTTTATTAACCCCTTTACATTACTTCAAGGTGTACTTAAATAACCCACAAAGAAGATATTTTACCATTGTTACTAAAAGTGGACACTGCCACCGGTTCGCATAAATCGCACTTTCATACACCATACATAATGATAGAATTTTATCAATGCGTAATAAAATAATTATTATAAACATTTGATCAAGGCCATATTGCTAGTTATATATGCAAAAGCAGCTTTGCAGGACAGGAACGTAACTCGCAGTAAAAGTGCAGTGTAAAATAATGTTTACAGTTAACTAAAAATCACAATCAAATTAATAATACCTTCATAATTATTGCAAATTTAACACTTCCAATAATATCCTAAAAAATACTTTTAAAAGGGCTGTTCAGTACGTGAGGTAGTTTTTTATTTCAAAGTATTTTTTAGATAAAATCGCACTTGTTTAGAGCTTTGTGATCAACTAATGAAAAAGTAATTAGCATAGCAAATAAATAACATAATGAGGTAAAGTATGATCAAAATATAAGATAGATTATTCAATACACTATGGTCTTTATGTGACAGTTAATTAAGTAGATTCTGAGTATTCGCAATAGAAATATAATTTAGACATTTTGCTGTTTTATTATTATCATATTTTTTTATTATTTATTACTAACGTAAATACATTACATATAATTAAGTACAGTACTCATAACACTTAGGTTTAATTTGTGAAACTGGGTGTAAGTTACTTTCTTAGATTAAAGTGAAGGAAAAATATGTATATTTAATAATTATATCTTGATGCCGTATCTACTCAATGGACAATTATGATTTGAACTTTTAATGTTGCTCATGACAATTATAGGTAAAAATTAGACTACTGCTTTAATAATAATAAATAACAGTAATAAATACAAAGTAACAAACACTCAAGTTATTAACACTAACGTCTGCCAGTAGTTTTATTCAAACACATTACTAGTTACGCAATTTTTTCACTCGCATCGGCGAAAACCGCCAGCATGTTATGTCGCAAGCAAGGTTCTTCAAACACGATTCGCATTTATAAACTATCAATATAGTTAGCTAATTAATATATTCTATGTACTATAATACAAACAACACATGGCATAATCTCGATATAATCTCTGGTACAAAGAAGAAATTTGGCCTTTGCAATACTCTACTGCTCATTACGAGTAATTCGCTTAGCAACTAACAACATAAAAATAGAAACCAATTCATATTCATTTGTTTGTGTATTTCATTTCTTTTATTAAAATTTGACTTTAAATATACCTACAATTATTTTGAATAAACCGCCGTATTTATCGTACTTTCTTCAGTCGTGGAGAAGAATCGCCATCATAATGTTGCCTATGCTGAAACACAGGCATTCAGATAGGCAGAAAGGGACAAAAACCATCTCACCGGCCAATTGTAAATTGGCATACCCAACAAACTCTCCGGCATACCCTATCGCGTAAGACCCCATGGTTTAACATACACCGAAGTGAAAAACCTTACCTTGATAACAAGGTCGATGCGATGTTGCGCAATGACAGCCAACTTCTCGACCAACGTCTTGAGTCTGTCGTGGAGAGCGTGCGCAAGTAACGCGGCCACCTCGGCTGGAGGCTCCTCTAGACCTAGACGCGCCGCCGCCGCTCGCGCTCTTGCGCCCATCACCGATGTGCCGACCAAATATTCGTCCTTACAAGACCTAGGACAAAACAACCGTTAGGGGTCATAAATGACGTCACAATTAAATCAGGAAAGACATTGTGTAACACAGGGGCCGACTGAAGAGTGTGACAACGGGCGGGGGACAGGTCCTAAATTTTGCGAGTTTAAAGATTCTATACGAATCGAATGAATTTTTGAACACTTCAATGTAACTTTTTAAATACAAGTAACAAGGATAAGTGAGTAAGGATAAATGGGCACAAGGAAGGTGCCTAAAAGATGATAAAAACGCAATTTATTTTGGCCCTCTGTCTTAATCGTAGCGTCGTGGCGTTGCTCATCATGAAGCTGGCTTCAACTACCCGGCCCCGAAATCGATCTCACTCAGAATAAGTTGTTTCAATTGTTATTTTACTTGTTAAATTATTATTTTCATATTCCTGTTGTTATATTGAATATATTAGTATTGATTGTAATACTAACATTATTATCCCAATAATCCTATTATGTTTTTTATTTTATGTTTTATATACGGCGGCGTGATACTTAGATTTATACACCAAAGAATCAAAATGTTGTTTTTTCTCAAACACTAATACAAAATCCCATCTAAGAATGATAATTTAATCAAGCTGTAACTTATTCATTTGCAATGCGGGTAGATTAAGAAAAAACAAAACGATCTGGTATACATAGATTTTTTTTACGATAGTAATGTGTAATGAAATGACAATATATAATGTTTAATGTACAATCGAGGAAAATGCAGTCTAGTGAATTTCAAAAACGTATATAGGACCTTGTAGGTTTTTTTTACTTAGTATAGTTCGATTCAGGCATAAAGAAATTAGTCACGTCACCATTTATTTTAAACAGTAAACACTTTCGATGATATTACCTGATCTGTGTGCCAATCATTTCAGTGGAGCCCAAAATCCTCTGAGTCTCTTCAGCCAAGTTCACGCCACCCATAGCGGCGACGTCATTGATGTCGTCATCGCCTGCCATTTTGTCATCAACATAGGGTTGCGACGCAAATTGCATTGACGATTTCTTTTCTTTGTCTTTCAGCAATGACTTTCCAGGGGTGAGAACCGTCGACAGCGCCGCGGAGGGGACCGCGGTGCGAGGAAAATTACTCTTGCTATTCACTGACATCGCTTTGCCGCTGCTCACTTTGCTGACATTGATTTTCGTGTGTACCGGGATGTTCTGCAGGACAGCGATCGCACTCCCAGGCTTGGTCGGCTTCGGCTACAGGAGGGGAAACGGCTATCGTCAACAATAGTTTAGGTTGCAAATTTAGACGCAACATTTACGAATTTGTACTGAGCATGCATTGTGCACCATGCTCACTGGTTGTTCACATTGTGCACATCATCAGTACTGCAGAGTACATACATAATATCAAATCGATATATTTCATATATGACAATCAGATGCAGTCTAGTTGCACCTGTAGTCAACAATTACATTAAAATTGTACATATAACGAATCAATAAAACTCTACTAATGATATTATACGTTTTAATCTAACAACGACAAATCGCACCAGTAAACATGCATTTAACAGATATCTCTATTACTTTTTAAAATCTATAAACAAAAAACGTTAACTTAAGCCAATGGAATAATAACGTTGAAATGATAAAATACGACATTAAACTTCAAAATATGACAAAACAAAAAGATACAACTGAACCACAACATTCTTACCGAAAACCTAATGAATATAAGTCATAATTTATCAATCAGACAAGTGGTTCTTAACCGGTGGTCTTTGGAACATCCTAAATGATATGCAGATACTCACAAAATTATTGAACCAAGTGTGAGTTTTAGAAGAAAAATAAATACTTGTCTCACTCTAAGATACTAAAAAAATGTATATATCAAGCGCAAAGGAAAACTAATTCTATTTACATATCTAGAGCAAAAAATGTTTGCAAGTCGACGTGGGATATAATTTTATAAACAAAGAAAATAAAAAGGACATCACAGAAATAAAACTCAATGACAATTCATATATTAATGACCCAATTCAAATAAGTGACAATTTCAATGGATATTTTATTAATGAAACTAATGCAAACAATGAATTAATTGACATATCTTATGCAACACGCAACATACCAATCTGTTCAAATAGTATCTACCTAACACTGGTTAATGAAAATGATATTTATAAGATAATAAAAAAATTAAAAAACACACACTCAACTGGCATCGATGAATTAAGTACGGATATCATAAAAAAAAGTGCTAGTTTTGTTGTACATCCACTAACTCACATTATACATTTGTCTTTTATGCAGGGTCATTTTCCTTCAGTATTAAAACGCTCATTAATTAAACCGTTACATAAAAAAGGATCTTTCAATGAACTAAGTAATTATAGACCTATTACACTTATTTCAATCTTCTCAAAAGTATTTGAAAAAGTGATGTATGACAAAGTTTACTCTTTTATCTCATCTCAAGATACATTAAAAGATGAATAGTTTGGATTTCGATAAAACAGCAGTACGACTCTCTCGACATGTTTTAATCTCATAAAACATGTTACACATAATCTCGATCTTAAACTAAATACTTTGGCAATATTCCTGTACATGAGCAAAGCATTTGATTTTGTTTCACACAGGTTACTCCTACACAAATTAGGTAGATATGGAATAAAGGGCAATGCCTTAGAATGGATGAAAAGTTATCTAAGCAACCGCACACAGTGTGTCGAAATATCTAAGATGCAAGGTAATTTTAGAAAATCTTATACTTCTAAATATACACTAAATCATTGTGGCGTACCCCAGGGTAGCGTACTTAGACCACTTTTATTTTTATTATATATCAATGATTTGCCCAGTGTTACTGATCAAAAGTGTGTCCTATTTGCAGATGACACAGCACTTATTATCAGAGGTCAGAATTGTGACGATATTGAACGAATAGCTAACACTGAATTCAGAAAAGTTACACAATGGCTGGAGAAAAATAACCTAAAAATTAACATTAATAAAACGAAATACTTTCAATTTAAAACTACAAATACTAAAACTAGAACAATAGATATATGGCATAAAGATAACAAACTAGTAGAATTAATTGAAAGAAATTTCTTAGGGATCACGATAGACAGATTCTGTAATTGGAAGGCACATATAGACATGATTGCTGCCAAATTGGACAAATTTATATTTGCTCTTAATAGAATTAGACAAGTGGCCTCTAAACAATCCGCTCTAATAGCATGTCATAGTTACGTCTCATTTGTGTTGCTATATGGTAAAGTGATATGGGGTAATTCGGTCGATGCAAATCGTGCTTTTAAAATACAAAAAAAATGCATACGGTCAGTCTGTGGTGCAGGCTACTTGTACCCATGCCCATTGGACCCATTGAAGCCTTTGTTTAAATCATTAAATATATAACCACTTCCTTGTTTATATATTTTTGAAATGGGGATATTTGTTAAAAAACATTTCCATTTATTTAAACAAAGTAAAGATTTTGCACATAGAGGTAGGAAGGGTACAAATTTATGTATTCCAACTCAAAGACTCGTTGTGAATTCGAAGAACTCATATTGTATGAGTATACGCATTTTTAATAAATTACCGAATAAATTAAAACTATTGATAATGTTATTACATTCAAATCCTGTTTATTTAAATATTTAATGGATAAAAATTATTATTCAATTAATGAATTCTTGCAAGATAAATCTCATTCTTAATTATTGTATGAATGCTTTGATTATAATATGAACCTATTGTATCATATGACTATGATTTGACATTTGCTATTTTTTATGTAATTTAATTTTTTGACATTTTCTTTCATATAAAATCAGACAATTTATTGTATATTGACTTTATTATTTGCACGTCGTCTTGACGATAAAATATGCTGGTCTAAAATTGTAAAACTACCTTGTAAACATATTTTCGCAAATAAATAAATATTATTATTATTATAAAAATAAATTACATCGTATCATTTTTCTTTTATCAAAGGTACCTCGTTCCGTCTTTACCCTAAATAACTAACTACTAAATTAACAAATCTGTTTTCTCTTTGGCTCACAGTCCATTGCAATTTCTTCCTTATTGAATCTTCTTTGATTAGCCAGCATCAAGTCCCAGGTTGCAATGGTGTGTTTATTATTTGTTTGGCTCCTGTCCTTGTACTCACATAACGCCCGGCACTCAATTATAGTTAAAGGACATCGATATCATGTATTCTTTTTATATAATAAAATTGATACAATGTAATGTAGAATTTATACATACAAGAAGATCAGGAATACAATATTACCATCAAGCATCTCAACGATTTTTAGATTTTTAGACACTTAAAAAATATCTGAAAATAAAAAAAATATATCAATATGGATTGGCGGTTATAAAATTATGTGTATTTAGAGACTATTCATATAATGTGTTCCTTAGGATCAAATGCATTATTAGAGTTTGTAGCCACACCTAAAAAACCGTCAAACGTCGACTAATAATACTAAGCCATAGCCTAGTAGTTGTATATATAAACCGAGGCAATATTATACACATAAGCACGATACGCTATTTGTATCGGTAATAACAAGCGATTCCTCCTGTTATTTCATGAAAATAACAATATTATTGACAAAACATTTATGTACACCAGGAGACACCATAGTATTAGTTGATGCAAAAGCGAGACAATCAGCCCGTTGATGTGAAGAAGCGCAGAGCAGGAGAGATTAATCTATAATATGACAAAATAAAAACGTCTAAGGGATGATAACAACAGAAAGGGCGTGCGGTGATCTGACAAACCTGTGTAGTAGTCTGCACTGATATAACGTTAATGGGTTTTGGTGACGCGAGGGGAGCCGCGAGGGGTGTCGGGAGAGCTGGCGGCAGTAGCGTAGTTAGCGTTGGACTTCCACCGTCTTCGTCTCGGCCCGCACCCTGCCCGCAACACAACCGCACCATGTACACAACCCACCACCACCAGGCGACCACTACCACGGATCACATGCCACCACAATGCTAAAACGCTCGTCCGGGGCGAGCCATGTGACCGTTAAACATTATAACTAACACTCATCTTAAAGCTTAATTGGAATGTTGAAACAATATGGGATATACATACGCATACAAAAAATAAATAAACTCGGCAGCGAAATAAGAAGAAACAATGTAGAACGATAAAACTATCATACGAAGCCTTCATGTTCGCGAGAGGATAAATGACAAATAAAAAACAGCGACAGTCCAGAGTGGCCGACCTGGGAGCCGACACGGCAGAGGTGAGAATTAAAAATTAAACAAAACAAGAGCAAAACAAAAACTAACAGAAACAAAAAACACCGACAGTCCAAAGAGCTTGGGGGAAGTGGACTCATGCGTGGATCGAGCCACCATCGACGTCCTGATGTAAAAACGACAAACCTGCATAGTGGACTGTACCGACACAGCGCTAATGGGACTTGGGGGATGCATGAGAGGCGCGGCTAGCGGGACCGGAAGGACCGGCGGCAGGAGAGGCGGCAAGTAAAGACTTGCCCCCTCATCGTTCAACTAAACATAGTGCAACACATTATACTACGCACACACTCTCAAGATACAGTGGAAAACAATAGTGCATTCATATTGATAAGAAACTTATACAATAATGTAGTCTTAACGATTTAATAATTTTCCTTCACTACAAATTAAAAGGTAAGTAAATAAGCTGGTAATCTCATATAACAAAACAAATCGATTTACCACTCTTGTTATGCTCAGACTAGTTGATAATTTGTTTCAATAACATTTGCTTATAGTCCTCGACTTAAAAGTAGGCTAGGCTAATAATAACCCTAAAATTATTAATTTCCTATATGTATGGGAAAATAAAGGTGAAAGGTCTTGTCCGCCTTACATTATATGCAGAATCTAATTCAGCAAAGACAAGCGCCCGTCTTATTCTAACAATACACAGTGCAATCTTGATGCGGAACACAATAAGATGATGATAGTCTAGTCTAGACGGACGCTAATCAAACATTGGACAAAATGTAAGGTACAACAAAAACGATTTTAAAACGTGCACCTAATCATGTATATTATTATACTATATACTCGTAGATAGAATTTAAAGACTTATGATATTAAGACCTGTAAGGTGCTCTTGTTTTATTAAAAATACATTATATTTAATAAAAATAAAAAAAAATACTTTTGCCCTGATAGGTCGACTGCATGTGCTGGAGATATGGAAAGAAACAGTCATAGTAGAAGAATGGCCGTTCTTCAAGTAAATAAAACGCAATTTGCCTGATTCCGGAACGCCAAACAATAGATTATTAAAAGATATTGAACACAATTTTTATTTTTTCGTGACCAATAAATTACAGCGATTTCATGAATTAGTCGTTTTTCATGAAAACTCCTCATAAAACTGATCATATCTTAAACGCTATGGTCAGTTTTAGGTGACAAGGTTACCTTTTCATTTTTTTACCCAATGATCGTTTTAGGTCTTGATGATACACGTTTAAAAACGTTGGCGATATGGCAATCAATGTTTGGCCATATCATTAATATAGGATGTCCAAAAAGATATCTAATATTTGCTGAAATAGCTTGTTTGTACGTAAGCGTTTTGAAAAAAACCTCGTAATTTAAGATAACATTTTATTTCCGACGCTTGGTCACCTACTTTACTTTATTTTTTATATAACCTAAAAATTAAAATAATTCGTGTATCACAAAAACCGACAGAATCTATGAAACAGCAACCCAGAGTGGGCTAAGTGTGCCGTATATTGGACCAATTAGATATTAAAGGTACAGTTAATCCCGCTCTATAATATACTATTTTATGCTTAATAAGTCATTTTATTAATCTCCACAACTTCATTCATACATATATTATAGATTCATACGTTTTTTTAAGGCTTGATACGATTGGTCATTCCATTCGAAACATCGTATTAGAAGAAGACTCTGTGATACGACAAATTTTCTGAGATATTCTTCCATTGATGAAATGTGATTCATGGTACCGTATAAAATTCGTTCGATCTTATTGGCCATGCAAATGACACACAAACAAAGGCCCTAAATTATGATAATGAAGGCCCCAAATTATTACCAATGAACGATTTATGGTTGATTATGGATTCTGTGGATGAATGCATTAATCAAATGATATTGAACCTTGTCAATTGTTTTTCATCACCAAATTATTCTAACCGAAAATAAATAAGTAGAGAATATAACGTAATTTCAAAATTTATTAGGTTTAGTTTGCCCTTTCCCGTTTAATATGCTTTCTCACTTAAGAAAAGTTTTTGCCTGGGTCCTGTAATAGTTTTAAGTGGGTTATACTGTATTTATAATTAGGGAAAAGGTTGTTTAGTCTCTGTGAAATACCATAGGTAAAGTTTTTATAATATAAGTGGTAATTGAAAACACTGAAAGGAAATTTACTGGGTAAAAGGAGATGTTCTGACTTAATGACTGACAGACAACGCACAGCCTAAACAGCTGGTCGTAGAGACTTGGAATTTGGAGGGGTTATTTATTATGTAGATATACTAAGAACGGATTTTAGGAAATTCCATTCCGAAGGGGTCAAAATGAGTGAAAACTTTTGTATGAAACTTCTTTGTTTTTGGACCATATCGACGAAAATCGGTATATGGTTAGTTGGAGACCCTAGGAATCAAAATATCAGCCATTTTATTTATCATTGTAATAAATCTATATAATATTATTTATAAAGATTTTTTATATTATGATAAAAATTAGTATTTGACACATAATTGAAAACAAAAATAAAATTTTTAAATAAATATTTTTGAAAATATTCAAGTACAAATACGAAAAAAAACAGAAACTATATATTTTCTTCTATACTAGATGGCGTTTGCACTATTTTGGTTAAGGTTAATATTTCAAATAAAATTGAGTAAGAACTTTGAACTTTGCTATACCGATGAGTAGCTCGGTGGCGTAGGGATAAGCACCGCAACCCGCGATCGTTGTTGTTATGCAACTTTTGAAAGGTTCGGTGACGGGTTGGGTGACCAATTACTTTTATTTTGCGTTACTTTGTTGATTCAAAAGGCATGTTATGCCATAGGTCCCGGCAACATTTGCAGTCGTTAATGCCCTCCAATCCAGCCAGCGTGGGGGGTCATGGCCTATCCTTCTTAACTAATACATAAATTGCAGTGGATACGTAAAGGGGCTCTTATGATGGTGACATTAGATTTGTTTTCCTTTCCATCTGCATTTTAAATTGGATAAACAAATTTAGTTTTCAGAGATAAAGTACTGTAACATGTTGGACGTTACTTGGTATATTAGATGTATAGCCGATGTTGTACCTTAAATAAATAAATACATATAGCTTTTTGTTGTAGTGTATTCTAAGTTGAACATCAAAGTAATTTTATTCGAATATCGTGGATATTTCGCTATTAATAAAATTAATAGTTCCCAGGGCGTTGTATAGCCGCACTGTATAATGATGGTTACTCAGCTGATCGACGTTTAGCCGTGCAAATGAATGGCACTATTCTATTATAGGGCTAACTACCTTCTTGGACGGATCTTTTACCAAGTTGGCTACGACATATCCATTATATATTAACAATTATAATTAACAAAGCGAAAAGGAGAATAGTTTAAATATTCCAAACTAACATTATACACGCAAAGGTAGGTCTGTGTCTCAAAGTCAAAGTCATAAAATTTTACTTCAGGTATTTTACATGATATGATGAATAAATATTATTTTTAAAAACCTGCCCAAAGTAAATATACCACGCGGACGAAGGCGCGGGCAAAAGCCAGTATAATATTAATGGTAGCAAGCCACACTAAAGAATAAATTATACTATTTTTAAATATATTTTATATTTGTGCAAAGCAGTGTTTTTCGCGCGACGTTTTATAATATACAAATTTTCAGAACATATATTGACAGTGTGGAGAGGTGCATATTCTGTTTGTATCAAATAATAATATAAAATGATTTAATAAATAGTCTATATTAAGATATTTTAAAGTCCTCAAGGTGAATTTAGCATCCATATTGTTACCAGAACGATTATTCGAGAATTTTTCTATCATAAGTCTCATTTGGTACAAGGTAGTAAGGCACCCAATTGCACTCAATACATTTTTAATTGCGAATTATAAAAGTGTATGGAAAAACAAGTATGCAAAACAGTTGTAAATGTTTACATGATAGCCATTTTAATATGAGCCGCACTTACCATCTGCACATTGGAGGTCGCGATGACAGGCTGCACAGGGGCTGGTATATTAGAAAAGGCCACGTGCGGTGCAGGAGGGTTGATACCCTCTATTACCAATTCTTTTGTCACAAGTGATTGTCTTAGCAGTGGCAAACTCCTCTATAAAATAGATCATAACATTAGTGTTACACATATATATCTATCACAATACAGATTGAAGGTAAGATTAGTGTTTCAATTACCTTTAAGAATCCAATAAGGCATGGTTGTGGACTGGCATTTAAAAGCCGTTCAAGTCTGTCACAGAACTCTTCTGGTTCCACTTGAGCATCAATCAACTCCTGGATGAGATTTCTTACATTTTTCTCCACAGACTTGGGCTCCTTGCTTGACAAATCCAGTAGATTGGCAAGGAAATTCCGACATTTCTCTTTGGTGTTATCATTAGGTTTCTATAAAAAAAGACAAGTTAAAAAAGTAAAAAGAGATTTTACAACCTTTTTAATACAGATACAAATGTATCCAAACAATTAAATGAATTCTTAATGAAAAATGCCTAAGAATTAAATTTCAGTAATTTTACCATTTTGTTACGAGTACCTCATCACATTGCATAAATTTTTAAATAATATATATGATATTGGAAAAATAAGCTAATGCTTTGTAAAAATAAAATAAATAAGAGTTATTTTCAATTTAATTTAAATCCACTGATAATAGTCAATAAACCACAATGTTATCAAAGCACTTTTTGTGTTTTAGAATCCTTTTTAATGAATTACTAAAGAAATAATTGCAATCACTAATATCAATACACTTAAACCCAGACTGGACTTGAAATGTAAGCATAAACACTGACATTGGATACATGCATATATCAGTAATTTTAATTTCCTGCTTGAGTTACAATTATAATATTTACGTGGTCACAATTATGAGAATTTAATTTTCTAGGATTTAGATCTCAAACCTTGGCATCTCAAGATGCATTAATTATAATAGCAGTTCTTACTTGTGTGGTGACTGTCGGCGGTTGCGGTGGTGGCGTTGCCGTGGAGACACTAGGAGGCGCCACGACTGGTGCTGCCACCGGTCCCGCCGGCATCTGTCCTTGGATCTGCCCTGGGGCCGCTACACTTGTTGATACAGTGGCCACACCTGGGTGCTACCAAAATGAAATATCAACTGAGACTTATCCCCAATGCATCTACATCAATAGCACCAAACAATCACATTCACCAAGCATACATATGCAATAGTAACCAAACACTACTAAACAAATTAACCATTAGTAAGTACACTTTACAAAAATATTGATAGATGCACTTGTGGATGGATTACTTTCTTTGAAAATTAATCAACAAATAGATTAAGTGTAGTACAATAATGTTATGCAATCAACCCTTATCAGTGCACCTAACAACAATGCATATCCTGGGTTAATAGATACACAGTGACATTGATGTCTCCTTTTAGGCTTACATTGTTAATTACCTTTGAAACATGCACCGTCACCACAATAGTACATGCATGATTATGTGAAATTGAACATTGCTTGAGAAAGAAGTGAACAGTTGTCCAATTTCAATGTCATTGGGTGAGTAGCAAGTGGGTGTGCCTACTTACTGCCGGCACTGTCGACAGCCGGATGGTTTGAGCCTGCGGCGCCGCAAGCGTGCTGGCCGAGGGCGCGGGCCCCACCCTCAGCAGCTGGTACTGACCCGTCTCAGTCTTTAACAACAAATGACCCTGCTGCCCGGGTTGAAGACTTTGCAGAGTTTGCAGTGTTATCTAAAAATGAACGCCTCCATTTCAATTTTGCTACAGCAGCTAACATATTCAACAATGTTGTATTATTAATACCTTTCATATAAAAATAATACTGATAAGATTTTAAAAATGAATCTAAGCAGGTCATTTGTTAGACATTGTAAATTTTATTATAAATTAAACATCAAAATGAGGGTGCAACATTTATGTATGAGTAGTGCTACGAGGCAAGTAGTTGAGGTTTGATGTTAGGTTGTTAAAGCTGGGGTGAAAATTACAGCTAGACACATTTCCTTATGCCACTGTACAACATAAATTTCTACATCATTAAAATAAAATATCTTCTTTGTTGTTTTTCATTCTATTCATCATTGATAACATAATTACAAAAGGGCACAACTCTTCAGTTATAGAAATATTAATATAAATCTGAAATTATGATTGGCCTCCATCAGGCAATCATTCAAAACATTGGATAGAAGAGATGTATTTGTGGGTAACAATAATGGCACTCGATAGCATTAGGATAAATCCCAACAATGTAATTTTATATTTGAAGTTTCATCAAATTGAAGGACACTGTTTAAGATATCAGAAAATAATGGAAGGTGAAGATGAGTTTAAGAACTTCACATGCTATGTGGTTACATTTCGAACTCATGGTAGAGATAAAAGAATCATAATAGATTCAGTAACAAACATTTAAGTCAACAGATGATGGATAATGCAGTATTTACAAGCTATATTGTACTAGACATACATGTCGTCTCTTAGGTTTTTACGCATTTTACAAAAGCATGTGGTGTTGATGTCCATATTAATAATCGAGGAGCTTAGCTTAAGGTTGTAATGATGTTGAGATACTGTGATCTCAAATTATTATCATAAAGAAAGATTAAATCTGTTACTTATAATGAAAAATAACTTAAGCAAAACTCTGGCTTAATTAATATATGAGTTATGTGATTTGTTTATTAGCAGTGGATTATTGATGATTATATAAAAATAAACTTACGCCTGGAGCTGTTGCTCTAGCTCCAACCACCTGTGGAGCACCTATCACCACTCTTGGAGACACAGTTGCCACAGATTTTTGTGCTGCAACAGCAGGCGCCCCAGGTCTCATGTTCAATATCTGAACATTAGGTATTATAGTAGGTTGAGCTGAACCCAGATTCTGAGTAGTCACCACAACATTTTGCCCTCCTGGCTTATTAATTGTCATAACATTGGGAATAGAACCAGGCATACTCGAGTTTACAGTCATTGGCACTGTCACCATACTAGGTTGCATGCCCACCTGCCCACTACTTGTGCCTTGCTTTATAACTAACGGCGGTTGCATCGTAACAGTTTTATTTATTGATTGAGGTAATACACTATTTCCAGTTACTGTATGCAAAATTTGATTTTGTGAGACAGGTAGACCGATACAACCGTTTGCGATTGATTGGGTGGTGAAATTAACACGATTGTTAGGGTTAAGGCCTTGTGTTTGAGAATAAATCACTTTTAGAGAATCACTAGAATTAGAAACTACTCCTGTTAACGCTTGCGAAACAAAAGAGTTAGACGCTTGTACATTGTTAAACGAATTACTGCTGTTTACGATCGCAGGAGATTGAATACCAGTCACAACACCGCCGCCACTGATTTGGTCTGAGTCCGTGTTATATTTTTGTACACCGAAAGAATTCGCACTCGACGTAACGTTAGATAGCTGACTTGGAACACCGTTTATAAAAATGTTCTGTGAAGAAGACGAGGTAACCGATGTAACTAACTGATTTTCAAGAGAGCCCACAATCGCGTTCACTGCGTTCTCGTCAACGTCTGTAGACAAAGCTTGCTCTAAAAACTCGGCTGACGCCATTTTATATAAATCCACGGTCATGGCATAGGATGGCAGAAACCGGTGACGAAAAGAAAAACCAATTTTGAGAAATATATATTTTGGAACACATTATTTGCAAGGGGTCAATTACAAATAACAAAACGGAACATATAGTAAGGGGTAAAAAAATAACAATGTAGAGAACATTACAGTATAGCATTTTATTTAAGCTAAATATATTTGACCGGTTCTATACTAGAAAAAGAAGGGGCAACCCTATAGATGACGTTTTAGCCCTAGTACAAAAAGCAGTGCTATATACTTTACTCTTTGGTAGGAGCAATGAAGACCTTAAGGCGGCTCCACACGTTTGATAAACAATGAAAAACGAATGACAAATGCAATGATCCAAGACAAACGTGTAAAGTCTGTCTCATTCATCGCTCACGTCTCACGCTCTCACGAAAGAAGTCAATGAGGATGATTATGAGAATTTTTATAAAAAATAAAAACTAGTTCTTGAAATCATACTAGATGTCACTCGCAATGTTTAAATATTGTCTATTAAATTCATTCAAATTTTGCTTCTGACCTAATAAAAGAAAATTTAGTATCAAAAATTAATAAATATGACATCGAAAAGAAAATTACGCAAAGATTCATTGGTAATACCAACGCTACTCGAATAATAAATTTAACAAAAGTTCTAAAAACAATAACAAATAGGTAAGTGAGTTTTGTTGCTATTAATTGTTAGTTGATTTTACAGCGTCAAAACTACATGAAATCTCAATGATGTTTCTATATTAGGTGTGAATGGATTAATAGGGTTTATTCATCAGCAACAAAGACATAAAAACGATAATTATATTAAAACATCCGTTTTTTAACTATACACTTACCCGATATGTAATAAATATACTAGGTACTAGTACAAAATAACATGACTTCTGGTTAGAATGACGTTTGTATAAAGTACAAGGTGCAAATAAGTTTTCCTTTCGAAATTAATCTTATTTTTTTTCAAACTAAGATCAGTTATGAAATCTTGTAGTCATAATTAAATTATCTTAATAAAAATTCAATAATCATTAAAAAACGTTCGTTCGAAACGTATTGCATTAGCAGGTTATAAAAAAATTAAAAATGAATTAATTTTAAATTTCAAAATCACAAGACACGTACAGTTATTATACTATCGCGACTGAACTTCCATGTCGACCGTAGACATCAAGCAAGGTGTTATGTTCATTCATACGGTGGATGTGTGCTTTTTTGGTTCTTACAATAATATTGTCTTCATAATCTAATAAAGTCACATTCTAATAAGACTTCTTTATGTGAAATAAAACAGAGAGAAAAAAAGCAGCCTTTGCTGAGTTTCTTGCTAGTTCTTCTCAGCGCTAATTCACCCCATGTAGTTTTGCGAACCATTGGCATGGTTTTCGACTTTCAACAGAACTGTGTAACAGCCTAGACTGAATTGATTTTGATATTTATATTAATATCATTCAACCTGTGGATGCATAATGACACATACAAATACAAGCTGAATTCTGCACTCCGCTTTTAGTTCTTCATTCCAAACCTGAATTCAGATCAAAGAATGAAAGTTACGAAAAACCAATAAGTTTGATCTTCACTAATGTTGATGTATAAATCAAACATTGGTCCTTTACACATAACATAATAAATAATTTAAACATACAATTCAAATAAATTTAAATTAATTTGAAAGTTATATATTATAAGAAACACGAAACGATGTCATGTTTATTTATTTTCATACTCAATTTACTTTCATTACAACAGAAGAAAAATTTTAATGAATATTATAGACAATATCCAAACATCACGAGTGACATTTAGTATGATTTCAAGAACTAAAATAAAGAAACTACAAAAAGTTATTTCACTAGATGGCAGTACAAATTGTAGGATCTAAATGACAATTCATAACGTCAAACCAAAGAGAATAGAATTGTCAGTGTTGTTATAATTCTGATAACTTAGATTAAAATCGAGTTGAAATTCAATTAGCTCGAGATACGCAAATGCAGTTCGATTAATACGAACTAATCCTGAATAAATTGATTTTTATTTGTATAAAGGAAAATGGGAACAAATATAATAGAAGTGAGCATAGTGAGGGCTTTTTTTAAAGTTATGGAAATCAATAGAATTAATGCTGTGAAATTATTAAAAGTGGCATTTAGCTACGGTATACAATAATATTACATGTGTTAGGCTCATAAATGGGTGCTGCCATTTGGGGTTGGGTCTGCACTGACCATTTTCTTTTATTATGAATATTGTATTAATATATTCATTCAAATCAAATCAAATTATTTGTTGCATGTCACAAAAAAATTATAAGGTTGTAATTATTTTGTTGTTCGAGTACAAGTGACGCCCTGTAAGGGCACAGCAAAGTTACAATACAATAAAATAGATACTTAAAATATTACAATGTTTATCAATACCAATTTTTAATTTATTATTATTAATAATAATATAATATTTATGTCAGTTTTTCATTAAAAAAAACATCTATATTGTAATATGCTTTATTTATTAAGAATAATTTTGATTGATTATTAAATAGCATTTCTGTTTCCAGATTTTAAATATAGTTTGGTATATGATTATAGATTTTTATTGACTTAGCATGCGGGTCAGACGAGACTATTTCTAATTTAGGGAAGTGTATTTTTAGTTTGTTTAAATATCTGTTGCCTATTTTAACACTTATTATTGGTGTAAAAAAATTCTGGCTGTTTCTAACAAATTTAGATGTTTCCAAAATATAGATTGGTACAAGAGTCGGTATTTTCTGTTTCATAAAATGAGGACGACATGATTCCAGTTCGTCAATATTAGCCATTATTCATTTTCATTTTCAGTCGATTCTTGATAGCCGTTTGCTGCTGCTATAATATTAAATTGGGGAAAAAAAAATCAGCTACGTCACCTTTTAATCCGTCGCATTTCTCCATAATTTTCGTTTTCTCGTTTTTCGTTTTCTCGCTTTTATGTTTTCCCCGCTTGGCTTACGAGAGGTATCGTTAGAAACGTCGCGCCTGCATCCCCTGGCAACTTAAGTCTAATGGTGGAGGTGGGTGGCGCAATGAAAAAACTGATAGAACTCCTCAGTTTTTATTTATTTTCAATTAGTATTACATTTAATCACTTACAACCAAATACTATCTATGATGCTCACTCTAAGTTGGTCTGGATCAGAAAGGAAGACTATTAACCAGCGTTTTGCTGGTGAATAGAATCTCGAACACTCGAATTCGAATAAAAAAAATAATAATTTAAAATATTAACGGCCAGCACTTGACCATAAACCGTCCGAAGAGTAAACCCTACCTATAGTAATGGGCACGGACGTTACACATATTTTATGCAGTATATGCATTTCATTTTCATTTTACATGTAGAAATTAATTTATTCACTTGACATTGAAAGAATTGCGCGAAATGCTTAGATAAGTCATTGATAAAAGAAGAAGTTTATATATTTTTTACTCTGATAACGTAGTGTAAATTCTCTTTGACTTTATTTCTTATGAGAAGATTGATACTGAAAACATTTCGACACACATCTCCAAGATTAAAATTATTTGGCATAAGCTACATTTAGTCCTAGCAGGGAATGACGAAACTGGAACTACCAGATTTTTGTTTGTATTTTTTATGAGAAGATTGATACTGAAAACATTTCGACACACATCTCCAAGATTAAAATTATTTGGCATAAGCTACATTTAGGCCTAGTAGGGAATGACGAAACTGGAACTACCAGATTTTCTAGTCTCTTTACATTAGAATTATATGAAATAAAATTCGAGATATTTTGCCTAAAGAATATGTCGAGTTGGTCCAAAAAGGAACGTACTGTATAAATATCTCTAGTTAGCTATGCTCTCTTGAATAGGAATTGAGAGATATGCATTATTTGAAGGTGGCAACATTAATTTAAATTTAAACGTCAAACTGACAGTTTCTTTCTTGACATATTGACATTTTTATGAAATGTCTGAAAAAAGACTTGTTTGATTTCCTTGTTGTGCTCCAAATAATTACAAAGTAACATTTAACATAAATTATTGGTATAGCTGTGTACAGAACCCGCTGTTAGTTACCTTGGCATATAAAATGCATGGATTTTGCTAGGTTAGTATTTTAATCAATATATTTTAATTTCCGTTTGTAGTAATTTTCATTTATTTTCTTGACGTAGTCTTACTGTAAATAATTGCACGTTAGCATTTTACTATAATAAATTTATGTTAGGTAGATATTTGGTTTTTTAATAAACATTTAAAGGGGAGGGGGGCGTAACAAATTCATGTATCAGTCATTTGTGTCATTAAACTTTATAATGGTATTTTGATATTATAATATACTAAAACACTTCTTATCTACAAACACAATTGTATGATTCATGTGTTAATTTATTTTAAAACTAATTGTTTAACATCATATGGTGTAGAAAAATGTTGTGCCATAATATCATTCTCTCTAATGCAGGCTTTCCCAACCTGTATTTCGCCAAGCCTCCCTTAGGCAAATATAGTATTTTCATGCCCCCCTTAGGTAAGTTTCAACAAAAATAAGAAATGCACATTTTATTTATTAACTAAATTATTTATTTTTTGGTATTTTAATTATTTATTGTAAGGTTGAAAACAGATGAAATATGTTAATTAAGGATAATAGATAATTTTTAAACAACTTTTAATTTAAAGTAATTTTAAAATAAATTAATAAAATCTTTTAAAGTATTAGCTAATGAGATACTTGAGCTTGCATGCTCTGTACCAGTTGGTTGATTCTGCGTTCAGTCTTTGCTAAAGCTATGGTTAAATCACTATCGAAGGCAAGGCGATTTCGCTGCTTAGTATTTATTAAAACTAGAGCTGAAAAACCTGCCTCGCATAAATAAGTGGACGAAAATGGAATTAGAATTACAAATTTTACTCAATTTTTGATTATCAATTTCTTCGGACAGCTGTGAAAAAGGAAATACATTTTCATCAGATATCTTCTTTTACCAAAGTCATGTCGTGTTGTGACTTGTAGAAACTTGTACAGCAGCTATTTAATGGTATTTAAGAACAATAGGGAATATGCTTTTTTTTAATTGCTTCTATCGATTACTTATGTTAATACAATATGGTAAAAAATATATTGCATGCAGAAAAGTCAACATGTATATTAAAAACTGTAATGACAGTTTTTTTTTGGAAATGTAATCTTACATATTACGTACCTATGACGCCCCCCTAACATTTCTCTACGCCTCCCTAACATTTCTCTACGCCTCCCTAGGGGGGCGTGCCCCCCTGGTTGGGAAGTCCTGCTCTAATGGTTAACATTTCTGTATGTATAGTACTAAACAGAACTTATACTAGGTACATAGTATTAAATTAACTGAATCCTGTATGTTGGTAAATTGGCAACACAAAAGGTAGCCTTATTCAACTGCATTGATGCATTTGAGATTTATTGCATAGTGTGGTAACAAAAGGTCTTAAGTTAATGCAACAGAAACATGAAACATACCTTACCTACACACATTTATATTGGTGTTAAATTTTGTAATTGTTCATGAAAATATATTAGTTGAATATTATCATAAATTAAAATTTAACGATGTTTAGGATGATACTTTGCATAATAATTGTAATATTATAAACATTGATAATAAATATTGGCCAAGATTGTCTTCTATTTTCTGGTTATACATTATAATTTGTAAGTAATTATTATATTAATATGATTCTAATATACATCATTGGAAAGAGATTTTAATGTTCTGTGAATTATGTAAGCATATTACTTAAGCAAGTAAGTGAATTAAAGGAAAATTAGTTAATAATGTATTTAGCACTTAATGATAATATTTCTTTGTTATGATTTCTGATAACCATAGTATAGTTTTGCACTTTCTTTCAGTGAAGCAACCATGGAACGGTTTCCCCTGAAGTCTTCCACACCAAAAATGACTACGACATACCAATCTGTATACAAAAAGGTAAGTGAACATCATTCAATTTTGTATATATATTTTCTATGTTTATACTGATAACATATAATGTAAAGAGAATAGAGGATCAGCCAGCAAGGAGAGTAAATATTAAATTATGTTTGTCAAAAAGTTCATAAAGATTGCTAAATAATAATTATTTGCATTTTAAATTGATAAACATAGCGTTGGGTAGTTAATTATACTGGTTTTAGTAGTTTTACATAGATCAATATATATTTTTGTGGTAATAAGTATCCATTTGTCTTAAATAAAACAGTTTTTTGATAGTAATCCAATTGTATTGTCAGCAAATATTTTATGTATAATACAAATTTAATGCAAAGACATTCAACACCTGGCATAATAGCTTGTATCTTTTATAACATACTTCAAATCAAAGTGATAGAGAGTGAGAAGTGAAATAAAGAGATACCTGTATATATGCTAGTTTCACATTTTACTGGCTGTAAAAATAGAAATATAGAAAATGAAAATATTTAACGGCCTTGACTTACAATTGTCAGTGTGTAGGGTCCTGCCTCATCATATGTTGATCTGACACAAGTTGTGTTCCATCAAGCTGACATTCTGCCAGGCCTTGTAGGTGCATAGTAGTTTATGAAAAGGTGACTGTTTTACAGCTAACCAAGACAAAAACTTAACTAAACTGAACTGATTTGAAATTTTTATTTATCTTTATATAAGTTTTAATATTTTAAAATCCACATGATATAAAAGATGGGGAATAAGTTTAAGAATTGCCCTTTTTCATGAAAGAAGGATATTTTTTCTATCTTTTTTATTTCTATTGATTAAAGTTATCACCCATGCAATCAATGCGTCTTTGTCAATGCGTTGGTAACTTATTGATGCACTTCGTGAAGAAATCAGCTGGACGGGGGGCAACAAATTCTTCATAGGCATTTTTTACTGCCTCTTGGATATCGATTTTTTTTTCCCGCCAAAAAGCTATCCAAATTCTAGAAAAAGCAGAAGTCAGTAGGCGCAAGGTTTGGTGAGTACGGCGGATGAAGGAGAACTTTCAACCCTATAAGAGCTTAATAGCTTGGAGATCGTCTGCTGTGCAATATGAGGTCGCGCGTTGTTGTGCTGGAGCAGTGAAGCCGAACGATTGACTAAAACTGGAGACGTGAGAGCTTCCTCATCATTGTGTTCACTTCTTCTCAGTATACATCAATGACGATGTTAGAAGAAAGAATTCCTTGTTTATGAGCCAAAAAAAAATTTTTTTATTTGAAATTGCTCGTACTTACGGTAGAACGGCAATTTCGTTGGTAAAGACTTATATAAATGTATGTATAAATAGTATGAAGCTTTGAAACTCATTGCATTTGTTGTAAGCAGTGTAAATTTGGCAGGGTTCAAACACGAACAACGGGCGTAATGCGCAGGGGTCGAGCGAGGATGACATGGTAGATATAACACCAGGACTGCAGCGCGCCGCGGACTCCACTCCTACTAGTCACGGCACCTTCCAGTTGTATGAGCACACAGGTGCTGGTGATCAAAGACATTCTTCCGCCAGTGCCAACTGTGAGTACTAACAGTTACTAAATATATTGTATCAATTAGCTCTTACATTATTTGATGTAAAGTAAAGACCATTGAATCGGTTTTGTATGAACAGGGCTGAACGTGCATTAAAAATTTGTTTGTATATATTTTGATATTCACTAATCGATTCAATATTCATATAATGTCTGAGTAACACTCCACTATCCATAGGGTGCACTCCTAAGTGCAGATGAATAAGGATTTTAGGTTAGGTAACGGGGCTTCACATTCCCTTACTTTGACGCCTTTATTGGTCCATTCTACGTAAAAAGTCGGCTATATTACTTCAGTCCAGACGCGCAGACAGAAGCTTTTTAGGATCATCGCAAGCTTCATGGAGTGTTAGTCGGTTGCCAATATGGGTCCCTAGTTTGCTGCCAGATTCTCATGTTTCAGGATAGCGTGAGGTTTCTTACATGCTCTGCAGAGAGGGCTGTTACCTATTATAAGGAGGTTTTGAAATGAATGTTAAATAACACGTCAATATCTTTATGAACATCGAAGCAGAAAAGACTAAATATATTCGATAACCTTTTGTGATTGGTAAATATGGAAAACAATTGTATATAAAACATTTTGTCATTGTTACAATTGAAGTGTTTTGTATATTTATTGATAGTTTCGTGTTGCAATAAGACTTGAGCACTTGAGTGCCTTACTGCCACTGATGATACCATAAATAAATAACTCCATTTTCAACGAGTGACGGCGATGTTTTATTAACACAGTCTAATACTTCTTCTCCCTATTTATAATATTATTTAATATAACAGACAATTTAATTTAACGATTGTTATAAGTATCTCCTGGGTACATGGGCGTACCTAGTAGGGATGGCAGGGTAGGATATCTGCCTCCTCCTTGATTCTGTATACCTACCTACTATATATTTGACAATAAAAGTTTACGGTTTAGCTCGCGCCCTAGAACCTGGGTACGCTCATTCCTGGGTATTGGTATCAATCTAAAATTTTATATTTCTATTTTCAAGCCTACATCGCTCAATACTTCAGTTCTTCAACGGGTAAGCGTATAGTTTTATAATTATGGGTACCTAAATTGGCTTTCAATGTTGGTGTCATTAATTAACTATTCTCATCCAATAATTAAGTGTTTTGAATGTGTCAAAAGTGATTGTATCGGGTTGGCACAAAAGTAATGAGACACTTGGTTTAAGTTTTTACTTTTTTATTATTATTACAATAAAAAAAGTTTAGTCAATGATTTAATTACCATTAGTATCTAAGACTTCTTGCCAACGATCCGGCAAAGTTTGGATGCCTTTTGCCCAGAACTCTGATGGCTGTGCCTCGAAAAAGTTGTTCAACTCCGCCTCTACGTCAGAGAAATCATTAAATTGTTTACCCCGCAAATGATGTTTCAGGGCTCTAAACAAATGATAGTCTGATGGGGCGAGGTCTGGGGAATAAGGTGGGTGGGGTATCGTCTCCCAGCCCAAGTTCTCCAACTGCCGGCGAACCACAGATGCGACGTGAGGTCGAGCGTTATCGTGCAGTAAAACTACATTGACTCGTCTTCGTCGTTTTTTCTTGATAGCGGCAGATAATTTGGTAAGCTGGGTTGAATATTTGTCAGCGTTTATAGTTTCATTGTGTAATAGCTCATAAAACAGTATGCCTTGCGCATCCCAGAAACAGCAAAGCAGAATTTTTCGGCGGTTCTTTTGACTCGGCTTCGGTTAAGTTGGTGGCGTTTCTTCTCGAGGCAGCCAAAAAGCACGACGTGTATCGTTCTCGTAATAAATCCATGATTCATCTCCAGTCTGATCTGACAAAAACTCTTTACGTCGGGGTTGCAGCAAAAGTGACTGACAGATAGCGACACGGACTGGCGTCTGTAAGGATGTGCGGTACCCACCGAGCCAAAACTTTTCGATAACCAAGATCATGTAGATGGTGTTCCACGGCGTGGTGACTGCATTTAAGTGCTTCCGCTAATTCACGAGTGGTATCATCCGGATTCAACTGCAGTTCGCGGCGCAAATCGACATCATTCACTGCGGGTGGTCGCCCTGAGCGTGGCTGACTTTCAAGGCTCCTGTCTCCTGATTTAAAACAGTCAAACCATCGGGACACCGTCGCATGGCTTGTACTTCCAGCGCCTAATGCATTGTTGATATTGTCAGCCGCAGCCCGCGCACTGTGGCCTAACAAGTAGTCGTATAAGTGTAGTGTTCGAACTTGTCGCTCGTCCATTTTTCTTCAAACTGACTAAACAAATCGCGAGCGCGGCTTTATATACCCTACACCAGAAGTACCTAGAATGTTCTACAACATTCTAGAATATTATCGAAAAAATTGATTTTAAAAAGGAAATGTTATAGATTTTTCTAGTGTGTCTCATTACTTTTGTGCCAACCCAATACTTATTTGCCTCATGTAATTGTTACCTACGTGAAATTTGTAGAATCATGGTTCACACAAAGTAGCTACTCCGCAAAAACTCTTTGTACTTCTTTTTTATGGCTATTAAAAGAAGAACAAAGAGATTTATTCGCGTGATAAGATCTCATTAACCCTTTGTTACACTCTAGACTGCATATTAGCACTTTGACTAGCGTGCCAGGCCCCCATATTTCCCGGGACATATTTTAGGAATAGTTTTAAATATTTCCCGGGACATATTTTAGGAATAGTCCCTCTGGGACTGATTCTGTCTCATATTTTAAACAAACCTCAATTTTCATTGGACAGGCTCCGTAACTGTAGGACTGATTTTAAAAATTTCTTTCATCTACGGGAAGCTACATAATACGCGGGGGATATAGGCTATAATTTACGCAAGCGAAGTTGCAGGGATACAGCTAGTTTGAAAGTAATTGATTCACAATTCAAAAAGAAATTGATGGACACACCTACTTGCATAAAAATTATGCAAATCATTGAACCTTTCCAAATTTGAATAAACTCAAAATATACTATCTTTATTTTCGCTGATATAAACATGTCATCTAAGTAATTAGGTGATATTTGATGAAGAGCATATTATGTTTTGTTATAAAAAGAAAACTTCTGATTGGATTTCGATAAAATTTAAATGAGAACATCTCGGGCCATTAATCTGACCAATAAAAGAATTTTGATAATCGGTCAACATACATAAAATAATACATTGCCATCGAACATATAACTACCTTGTCGATTTTGAATTCGGTTAAAAATAGTTTCAGATCTTCTATTTCGGAAATTGTCATATTTTATCTCTATCTGCTTCATCGAGCGGCAGGTTGATTAGGTACTCTCATTTTTTATATACTTAAGCACGTGCTGCTATGTGTAGTGTTAATAACTATATTTCGAGCACAACACTGTCACAGCATAGAGGTGGATTGAAGTTTTGTCAAGTCTCCTCCTGTCCATGTGCATGGAGAGGGTCATATAGATGAGTTTCATTTACATGTAATTGGCCATAGCATTCACACACGTGTTCGCGACATGCCTTCATTGTATGACGCAGGCCGATCCGCGGTGTTCTTCATTGCCGCATCCTTTATCCGTTGTGATTGTGTGCACGTGTTTATTAATATAACATGTTTCAAGGGAAGGACAATACTAATAACTAATAAATATTATGCGTTTATAATTAAAAGACTAATCATTTCGTGACAGACAGAGTCAGCGATGTCAGACAATGCGCTTTCTTTTGCGTGATTCACGATTATTTGTGTTAATTCCAGAAATACCAATAAAATTTCTAAACTAATTAGAAAAGTAAGTAACAAGACCAACTGTTAATATATGACGGGTAAAGTAAAGCTATTATATGACGGGTTTCGGACAACTTCATTAACAATAATGGACGAATAGATTAAGTAATGTTAGCAATCTTATTATTGAACTCTTACTATTTAGTAATTATGATTAGGTTTTTTTTTACTAACTATATTGACATTCATTAGCAATCAGCATTTTTTTCCATAAGTGTCATTTGCGTAATACATTTAAGAATACTATACATATAGCTTTTTTACCTACTTTCCTTCTTTAGTGGTGCCAACTTTTGTGAATATTTTTTTTTATTCTTTACGTACATGCAAATTAAAATGTATGAATTAGACGTGTGCGCCGCGCCGCGCCGATGACCGACGCCGCCGATCATGACACGCCGCCGCTGACCGGTTCGAAAGATCGGCGTAAACGGCGCGGTATGGCCGAACTGCGAGTTACATTCGTTCGTTCGGTTGCTAAGCAACGTAGTGCATTCTCTGCGGCACATGTTAATTCCGTTCCGTATTCTATCCTTATTACCATATCTAGTATAATTTTAATGAATACAAAAGTAAAGTCAATGATCAGATGCAAACAAATAAACAATCGAACCTTTCTCTTTAGTTACAGCTGTTAACAAAATTGTACAATTAATGTAGCACTCGTCTACAAGATGGAGTTGGCAAAAATCATAAATTCAATACTTACCCTTATACCGTCTACTCTAGCTAATCCGCTACAAGCACATATAGCAAATGTGTATTCTCTGTTGCTGGCCTTACTAAAACGGCTAAACGATTGCGTGTAACTAGGAATAATAATATCAATAAAATAATTTCTATACATGATAACTATTAGGTTAGGGGAAAAGTGTTTTCGCATATAGTATGCATAAATTTTTTCGCTATACCATTTCTATGTGGCTGGTTTCGGGATCATTGAAAAGTTTAAATTTTAAAGAAGATTTCGTATTCAAATTAGGAAAATGTGTGATTTTTATTTGTTTTTCTTACTGTCAAATTGTTTTAAATTTTATTATAAAAAGGTAAAAATGCAATGTAAGCCGCGAAAAAAACAAATATGACGTTTATGAACCTAGTGCAGTTTCTGTGAGAGTAGCACAAATTTGGTTTAAGCGTTTTCAGCCCGGAAATTTTGATGTTAAAGGTGTACTTCGCTCCAGTCGCTCTGTTACGAATAAAATTGATTCCATTTTTAAGAAAGTGAAGCAAGATCGGCATTTCAGTAGTTACGATGAAGCTCACTGAAAGAACCCTATTGAACCATGTACTCTTTTGTGATTCTTTGTTGCGGCGTGATGAAACCGAATCATTTTTGAAGAAGCTGATAACTGACAATGAAAACTGGATCACGTAAGACAAGAACATGCGAAAAAAATCGTAGTCAAAGGTCAGTCAGACTTTACAGACTGTGGTGAAACACGGGTTAACTGGCAAAAAAGTGATGCTGTTTGTATGGTGGGATTGGAATACATTATGAGCTGTTACCGCCAGGGAAGACCATCGATTCTGAACTCTACTGATGTCTGAACAACTGATGAGATTAAAGCAAGAAGATGAGAGAAAGCGGACATAATTAACCAATAGAAGGGAGGTGGTTTTTCATTTGCATCCGCCGTATAGTCCTGACCTTGCGTCTTCAGATTTCCACCTATTTAGGTCTCTTCAGAATTGTTTACGCAGTGCCAGGTTAACATCACGCAAAGATTGTCAAAACAACTTGCCGTGGTTTCTTGATTAGAAGCCCCAAAATTTCTATAGCAATGGAATCCACTTTGTCCCCGGCATTGTCAGATGGGACTTAATTTAAAAAACTATAGTTGTGCCATATTTGAATGTTACTTAAAGGTGTTATTAAACTAATAACACCTTTACCTTTTAGTAGCTCTTAACTTGTTTAACTTTTCATTTTCCATCATTTAACATAACGACGCCGTTTACGCCGCCATTTACGCCGCCGCCAGTGAATTTTTAGCTCCACGCCGCCGCCGAAGATTTCGACATCGGCGCACATGCCTAGTATGAATACATTATAATTTTATTTTTCTTATGACATTTTTTTATATAATATTACTGATTACTGATTTCTTAACAAGTGAAAAAGCGTATTCACATAGTGATTTGTTTGTCGATACAATATGTGCCATACAACAAATATAGTAATATTTTACATTATTTATTTACCAATTCCTAGATTTTACGCTTGACCTGTGATAAGTAGCCTTTTAAATCATTTTAATATTTACAACTAGCTGTAACCCGCGGCTCTGATTAACCCTTTGTTACACTCTAGACTTTAGTTAGTTTCAAAATTTTTGAGTTAAATACATTTGGCCGACTATTACTCGTAAACTTGTTAAGCTAATTTTAATGTGTTAGTCGTCCAATTGAATTTATTATAAATAAATACTACTGTCGTGACTAACAATA